GTAGTCATTGAAATACTGTACAAGCTCCACTGTCAAAATGTGATGTATAATTAAATTAAGAATGTTGGAAAAAATAAGAAGGTATGGCAGAAACCCTTTCAAAGAAACCACAGAACTGGTGGAGTTTGAACCATGGCGAGTGAGTTTTACATCTCACTCATCATGGGTTCAAACTCCACGTTCCGTGGTTTGTTTGCAATCGTGTTATGATGATTTAATGAGTTGTTCAAAGAAAAATGTTGCCTCTGATGGTGCTGTGTATGACAACCATGCTTTATAATAAATATGTGCTTTATTATGCAAGGTCATACCTGTACTTATATGTCATTCACAATCAGCATAACTACTATATTTAACAAAGTGCTAAACCCGTATGGATCATACAACAAACAGCAGGAAAGAGGCTTGTGAAGGGAGGGAATCTGTGAAAAGGAAGGTTAACATCAATGTATTATTATTATTATAATTATTTGTTTATAGGGGACCATTAAATCCATAGGGGTCACACTGCACCTGGGGAATGGGATGCCATCAAATTTGATAAAGGGAAGGGGAGGTTAACTCCAGTTAATCAAACCAAGAGCCCTTCACCAGAGTAAGGAACCTGCCATGAAGGGCAAAGCCAGTGTAACAAGCCAGTTTTGTCTAAGTATTCATAGAGAATCTGCATTGAAGGACAACTGTTTGAGAAGAGGAAAGCAAGGGCATTTAAGTATAAAAAAATACACATGTCATTGCAATCAGTGTTAAAGAGGCTGTGTTTCTATGTGAGTGTGCAAGATTATCTGATTGAGATTAATTATCTGTAGTTACAAGAGCGGTGATATGCTCAGGGTGTTCTATCCTTAGTGTTCATCAAATAAATTTTATGAAGTTTCAAGTGACTGTAACACTTACTATCTCTTCCTATGAATAATAAAAGTCACAATACCATGGCTGAAACAATTCACAAATAACCTGCACTTAAGAGAGGAAGCATATGACCATGCTTTGGTCTGTCCTACTTCTACTATTACTCCCTTCTTCTACCACTACTCCATTTTTCTACTATTACTCCCTTCTTCTATTACCCTCTTACCCCTGTTTCCTCCCAGCCTGTTGTCTGATTCTCTGTTTTTTCCCTCTCACTTGTATTATTACTTTAATCATAACCATGCACTAAACCCATAACTGTCACCTCTCACTTGCAACTCCAATGGTCCTGTACAGACCAAAAAAAGCCACAAGTTTTCTTTACTAATGGTGGAGAATTATTATTATTATAATTAAAACTAAGTGCTAGACCACCAGGGTTATACAATGCTACAGTGGAGAAAAATGGTATAAAACAATGACACGATGGAAAAATAGACACGAATGCAGTGTTATGCAATCCCTTGACTGCTGCATTTGCATCTATTTTTCCATCTTTTACTAACTGTGGGTTATTTGTATTTTTTATATTCCATTCCAGTATTCTAATATTTGTGCATTATTATATTCACAGAGAAGTGATAAACATTTAGGTCACACAGTGTCTAAGGAATGGGAGGTACTGTAATTAGATTTGATCCAAGGGGAGGGCAGTTCAAATTTCCTGAATCAAGAGTCCTTAACTGGTATTCAGGACTGCATTCACATTGCTACTGCCCATCTTTGATTGCACAAATCTACTTCCTCTCTCTCTCTCTCTCTCTCTCTCTCTCTCTCTGTTTACACAAATAACCCCTACATAGGAAAAAGAAACTTATGATGACGTGTCAGTCCAAGTTGTACCATTAACTAGTTAGTGGTCCAAGCTGCACCATTAACTAGTTAGTGGTCCAAGTTGCACTATTAATTAGTTAGTGGTCCAAGTTGCATCATTAACTAGTTAGTGATCCAAGTTGAACCAAAACATCACCACGAGTTTCTCTCTCCTATGTGCGGGTTATCTGTATATTGTTCCAGTCATGGTATTGTTCCTATTTTGTTCTTTCTCTTTGTTTCTACTGTTTAATTCATCATATCATTATTCATTAATTTTATTTTTTCCTTTTTTTCATTAAGTCCCCATATTACTCAACATTAATTTTCCTACGTGAGGAACTGTTTCTTATTTTGTCATTACCCTTATCACTTTTTTCCCCATCTATCCTGATTTATCTTCAAGCTATTTTTTTATCTTTGAGCTTCATCTGCATTGCAAAACCTTTAAAATTATTTTTATGTTATTGTTCAAAAAACAAAAATCTAAACCCATATGGTTCATTCATGTGTGCTTACTTCTTTTGCCATATAATATTTATAGTTTATAGAACATTCAGTGGTTGTATTTTCCATATTATGTTTATCATTTAAAATTTACCTTTTAGGAATTAGTATGCCTCTTTAGCTCTTTGAAGAGCAATAAGTGATGCTTATTTTTTAATTTAATGGCTAATTCCTGCCAAGGCAGGGCAACTCAAGAGTAGAAAATACATTCACCATCATTCATTTAAACACCATCTTTCCAGAAATATGCTCACGTCACAATCAGATTGCCCTCCAACTGTAACATTCCCTCCCTCTTTCAGAGTCCAGACACTGCCCTTCCCACCTCCAGGACTCAAGTCCAGCTTACTTTTTTCCCTAAATCTCTTTCATAACAGCTACCTTGCTCACACTCCACCAGTATGTCCATTCACTCCTATTTAACATGCTCAGACAAACCTGCTGCATGCTCAATTCCCTAATTAACTAGTTATGCAAAACTTTATAGTTTTGTTCAGAGAAACAACTTTTCCATAGCAGACTAGAATACAGCATGTGAAAAATTTCTGATTATGAAACAACATATTATACAGATTTTAGTACTCTTCAGGTCAATTTTCAGTCATATTTTAGTACACATATAACCGTGGGAAGCGGTTAGCTGAACTTGAGTCCTGAAGAAGGGAAGTACAATTCCTGCACTTTAAAGGAGGGGTTTGGGATATTTGCTGTTTGGAGTGACATCTCAGCTGTCATATCTGCACACCTCTGCAAAGTCAGTGATTATGTGTGAATGATGGTGAAAGTGTTTCTTATTTTTTTTTAGGTCACCCTGCCTCAGTGGGAGGGGGCCAACGTGTTGAAAAATAAATATCCGTGGGAAGTACAGTGCCTGCGCTCTAAAGGAGAGGGTGGAGATATGCTGCAGTTTTTGAACTGTAATGTTAGCATGCCACTCACAAGACAGTGAAGGAGTGAGTGCTGATAAAAGTGTTTCTTCTTTTTTGGGCACCCTGCCTCGATGGGAAACATCTGGTGTAAAAAATAAAAAATATTTGTCTTCCTTCATTTGTTCTTCTTATTCTCATGTGTTATTAAATATTTACTTTAATTTTGGATTTCTACTACAAAGAATTTGACATTACCTTCAATTTTGAATTTTAATTTCAATGACATTTATAGATCTTAAACAATAGTAATATTTCACCACTCTTATTCTGACTGTCCATTCTCCATACAATTACCAAGTATTGTAAGTTCTCCTGAATATTACATCATTTAGTGTATGTTCCTCCATTACTATTTTCATGGGGAAGCAATGAACCCATATGAGCCATACAAGGGCTGCACATTTTCCCAGTTCACTGTCAATATCTATTGTGGCATTATCCACCTTATGCCATAACTGTACTACTCTTATAGTAAAGAAGTGTTTGTGATGTCTCTATGATGATTAGATGTGCATATCTTTGAAATACCTTTGAAGAGTTTCCAGAGTTTCACTACTCTCGGAGCCCAGCCATGGGCCAGGCTCATCTGGTGCTGCCTGGTCAACCAGGCTGTTGCTGCTGAAGGCCCACTGCCCCATATAACCATCAAAGCCTGGATGATCTGGCAGTTTATATTTTTATTGTTTAGGAACCTACCCTGTTATTCTTTATGCTCTAGTATATATCAGCCTGTTAGGAATTCTTCCATTCAATACTCTGACCCCTAACTAAACAAATACAGTGTATATGTCAAGCTCTGTGGTCAGGCAGAAATGAAGGGGCTTTCTTATAGCAGTGTTCAAAGAGTTCATCACTCTCCTGCCTAGCTCTTACAAGAGATCAGCTCTTGTCACCTGGAAGCCTCAACCCTTAGATGGGAAGAGCAAAAAATGGCATAGAGGGCAAAATTGTCTTACTACAATATTAAGGAACACATGATTCTCTATGACAGCTTTTGACAAGTAATTTCTCTTTCCACATGTTATGTAAATTCCTAAGCTTATGCACTAATACTAATGATATGTTTCACTTGCTTAAAATATTGAAGAGATACCTAAAAAAATAAAGTACCCTCACTATTAATGCTAAGACATGCAGCATAGAGGATAAAGTAAAATATAGGTACAAGCTAGCAATGTGCAAAGGTACAGTCTCTACGAAAAAAATTGTTGGTGGGCAATGCAAAAACAAAGTTTGTCACCAATCGTTTACCAGTCGGAAAGGATTAAAATTGTAACAAATGACTAGATACTGACATTTTGTACAATTTAAGTTCCTTAATAAAGATCCATAAAGGGTTTGTGTATTTTATGCCTCCATTTCCAAACCTTTTTTTTTTTTTTTTTTAGCATTTTTTTTTGTGGAGACCAAAGAGTAGTTAAAACTTTCTTTGTTGTCTCACCATCACCTAATACATTAAAATTTCTACATAAAATAAAAAAAAACAGCTAAAAGTACTTCTCTCACTCTTACAAAATATAATGGTTCTTGTTTTAAAAAAGAAACTGAGAAATATATACATACTATGAAAGCAATATTGATTAACAAATAATTCACCATGTGATGAGATGCCATAAACATTCTCAATAATAATTCAGAATTTTTTTTTAATACCTATTAGTATGGGACAGTTAAGATATTAACATTAGCTTGAAAAGTGGAATGACTGTTAATAATAAATATTATTTGCTAGGGTTTGAATGAGAAATGTGGCATGTGGAATGATCAGTTTAAAAATACAAAAAAAAAAAAAAAAAAAAAAAAAAAAAAAAAAAAAAAAAAAAAAAAAAAAAACTGGAGTTTACATGAGAATACTACAAGCTGGGATATCGATATTTGCAAAATAACAGCTGTGAAGAAATAGTGAAATTCCAAGTGCTTTCATAATTTCTCACATTATCAAGGGCCTTGATAATATGAGAAATCACAAAAAAGCTTGGAATTTTACCATTTTTTCCACAGTGGTTATTTTGCATATTGTGATATCACCTGTGTACTGTGATCTTATTGCACACTATATATTTATATTTATGTGAAGTGCTAAAGTCATGTAGGTAACTGAGGGCAAGGAGTGGCAGAGGCTCAATCCTCTACCTACTAATCACGAAAGAAACTACTCTCACAGCCAGGCTTTTCCCTAAAGACATGTCAAAAACTGCAGAATCAAGGAAATGTCTGCAGTGCGCTGCAAGACAAAGCTCATATAAATATGCATACTATTCAACATTTGTCTTACAAAACATGTCATAAACCGTGCATTAAATTCAAAATATTTTCACTGAAAGCAATTCTTTGTCTGCAATAATTTCTTGAATATCAAATTAAAATAATTATAAGTTCAGCAATTTAAAAACAAAGCCAAAAAATATATTGCACAAGGCATCCTTAATATTAAACGCTTCCACATCATTTATAATTATTATTATGTTTGAAAATAAATGCCAACCCACGTGGGTTGTATAACGCAGCATTTATAAATGAGAAAAAAAATATGAAATTCTTATTTAGCCATATCATCAGGGTAATATATGTATATATAGATATATATATATATTCATAAAAATATAATTTCTTGTTAAATATTTCCTGATGAGTCAATATATAACATAGTGTATATCTTAGCCTAATACCACAGTAGAACTGTCTGGTCCCAATATGCTGCACATTTTCTTTACAAGCCAAACTCAGCCAAGAGTGTTCAGAGATGAGTAATTGGTTAAAATGACTAGAAGAAAATAAATCATGTCACTCACATGGTCAGGTATAAATGTAGCAAAGTATTCAGATATGGTCTGATATCAGGAGTAAGTCTTATTCACCACCTGATGCAAAGCTTACAACACAAAGCTTTCTTTGTTTTTCAGTAATTAGTATATTTATACAAAAAAAAAAAAAAGCTAAACGTGTGTAAGTCATACAGCACTGTTGCTGATCCAGAAATTGTTAGTGTTGCTTACCAACTATTAAGTACTGTACAATAGTTTCCAAACCTTTAATGCTAGACTGGCAATCCCCCAGAAAAATATTAATTTGGAAAATGAGGCAAACTCTGGATTATATTTTCAATAATTATGAACTTATAATCCTACTAAAATCATAAATTTTACATTATTGTTTGTCTCCTAGTTTCCTTGCACTGACCTCTAATAGTCACAACTTTTATTTTTTTTTTTTACCACATGAACTCTCTCCTGCCAATGTAGTGACCCCCCTCCCCCTCCCCTCAAAAAAAAGAAAGCAGCACATTAACTTTTCATTCAATAGCTGTCTTGCCAAAATATGTGTACACCTGACAGGACAGCTACTGAATGAATGATAGTAAACGCACAGTGATACCTCATATATCCGGCCTGCCATTATCCGAACCTCGCCGATATCTGAAGAGGCCCTGGGAATGGGCAAAATTCTAAAATTATTACCAAAACATCCAAACAGCTGTTTGGATATGGCGGAAGGCTGAATCAAACTTGGCAAGCACTTTAGTGTACTGGTTGGGCACTAGGAACCATGCTCTTCGCCTTCCTTTTAGCAATACTACAGCTGTGTTTTGTCCTAGCTATCTTGTGTATGGCACCAAAGAGGGCCAGGAATGTGCTTACACTAGAAAAAAAAGAGGGAAATATTGTTGCATGTGGATGCAGGTTGGTTCAAGGCTGGGGGAAAAACTACAGAAGACGACGTGCAGGACTGGCTAGTGTGATGAAGATATTAAGGGTGTGCAATCTCTGATAGATGCAGAGATTGCAGAATCAGTGTTGGACCTGGAACATTCCAATGCCTCCAAGACCCAAAACTTCAGCAGCAAGAGCAGGTGTCAAAACACTTTTGAGTATTTGGAGCATCCACTATCCACAGCCCATTTGAAAAAATACAGGCCTGTGGTCCATGAAATCCAGGAGGCTGTTATTTGAGCGCAGAGTGTCTAGTCCCACTGCCAGACGACATTGGATTCGTTTTTTAAACCTACAACGCCGTCGCCAATGGCGATATGACGGGGTACGGATGGCGATATGACTCTGCAGATGTGAATTTTTCCCCCCTCACATATCCAGAAACTCCGTGTTTCCAAACCAGTCTCAGCTCATGTAGTTCAGATATGAGAGGTATCACTGTATTTCCTTTTTCTGAGTTATCGTACTTTAGTAGGAGAAATCCGATGTGGCTAAAACACAAGGAGGCATGGCTAGAAATTATTCAGCCAAAATTTTGATATTTATGCATCAATAATTACTAAGAAAGTTATTTATGATGAGTAAAAATTTGTTTTAAATATTAGGGGCACAGTGTATTAAGAAATGTAGTGTGCTATATATGCAGCATCAAAGCAAAAGTGCTCCTTTGAACAAGCGATCACCAAATGTTAGCATTCTGCAACCTAAAGGAAGTGAAACCAGAATTAAAAAGGTGGGAAATACAAGAGATTGATACCCAGGGAAAGTTGGGGTGTGAGCAAGGTAACATTTTATGAAGGGATTCAGGGAAACCTGTTAACCAGACCCGAGACCTGGGGGTGGGAAGTGTACAGTGACTGCACACTTAATGGAGGGGTTAGAGATATTTTCTGTTTGGAGGGACATCTGAACTGTTGTATCTGTGCACCTCTGGCAAGACTGTGATAGTGTGAATGATGCTGAAAGTCACCCTACCTCAGTGGGAGACAGTGTGTTAGAAAAAAAAATTCTGGCACGAGAACAATGGAATCCTTAATTCAGTAAACAATCCACCCAGGAAATTATGAAGTTTTTCCAACCAGAAGTGCAGAAGCAATAGAAAAATTTGTACCTCTGCAGGGAAAATAAATGAGATGCTTAGAGAACCCATAATTCAATTAATCAATGTAGGGAAGAGAACTAAAAACAACAGAGAAATGAAAAAGTGCAGAGTAAACCTGATGCTGAAGAAGAGTAATTAGCAGCTCTTAGAATTTCTCAGGAAATGGGAAAAAGAAAAAAGGGCCTATGAGTTACCAGCAACAGATAGTAAACTAGCAAATTACAAAATTCATAACGTAAATACAAATGTAAACATGATGCATTTTAGAAAGATGATCTCTACTTTTTGCATTAACACCAAAGCATGGAAAAATAAAAAGCAGATCTGAAGAAACATTAATATAGCAAAGCTAGATAAATTAAATGCAAAAATATGAAAGTACAGTAAATAATTTTCTATGAGAGTGCAACCCTATGTGAGCATTAAATATAGAACCCTTATATCAAACCATTAGTAACATTAACAAATGGTGAATAAGACTTACTCCTCTACTGCAGACCCATCAAAGCTTAAGATATGGCTAACTAACAATAGCTAATCATTAGCATATTTTTTTTGGTATTACTGATGTACTGTACAGATACAGAAACTGGAGAAAAATATATCCTAAAAGACACTTTCTTATAAATAATCTTCTCAAAGAAAAATAAATGTTGTACATAAGATAATATTAGAATATTACACATGTATGATAGATAGCAGCTAACCACAAAGCTGTACATTATTCAATATACATCAATATCAGTGCAAATAGAGGCCTGGAAGGGATGTAAAAGCCACTTCCAGGCTAAGTGCAGGACTGGACAGACTCGTTACTAAATGTCGCTTGAACATGGACACAAGATGAACTTTTTAATCCACATTAACATCATGCATCACTTTGTAATTATTTCAGACATATAATATATGTAATTAGTTAAAAAGCTAGGATTTTAAGGATACTAAATAAACATCAATCTTTGGAATTTGAACCTGTTCCAGCTTTCTTAATTTAAGAGAACCTCGTCACATGCTATTCAGAAGTGCAGCATTAAGCTAAGACTGTAGGGGGAGTCAACCCTTCTTATCATTGGGTTGTAAGTGTAGCTCAAGACGGGCATTTAAACCTTCACATCAGTTAGTTGTAAGTTTAGTTTAGGGTGGGAGATACAATGAGAATTAAACCTTCACATTACTGTAGTTGGTACTTGCCAATGATGTAAACTTCTTACCCAGTCCCAAACAAGATACAATATTGATATGTATCGAGGCTTTTATAGGCTTACACTTAAATACACTACTGCATTACTACTGTTTATGAATGTAATACAGCATCCCATGCATTAATCATTAACACTATTGGTACTTTCCTCTAATCTTCCTTACCATGGATGATTCTCAAACTGGTAACTGGTGTTCATGATTTAACTGAATTTCTTTTTATACAATAACACATATTTACAAATATTGCTGACTTTTCTAATTGAAAAGTAGAGTTGAAGTTCATCTTATGTCCCTGGATAAAAGGCAACGACAGTGACAAAAAAAAATGACAACACCCACAACTTGTACTGGACCCTACTAAGCCCAGACGTTGGTGCAGTGGGAACTTGGTGCTCCCTAGACATTCACCAGACCCAATAAGGTCTAGGTAATGGTGCAGAGGGTTATACATGCTGTGCAATACAAGAAAAAAGACGAGAGCTCACCCGTTGAGCTAAAGGTCAATGACCTGGAGACTTTTTTTTTTTCCTTTTTTTCCCCCTTTTTGTCAGCTGCAGCAAATATAACTACTGTATATCCCCAGTGCTGCTACAAAAAGATGCTGTTCCAAGATTCAGCTCCATTCCTGAAATCCACTAGGTGCAGCTTGGAAGGTTCTCATCTGATTCTGATTATTGTGGATAATTGACACCCTGCCTCGGTGAGACAGCCAGTGTGTTAAAAAAAAAATTGTACAGTGCATTCTGTACCACCTTATGCACTTTTACAGTATAGTGATACTAGGATTAGTATCATGAACAATGACCGATGTAAAGTGAAAAATCACTTGGACAAAAATAAAAATCACAGGTATGAAAAATCTGTCTTGCTTGCGCTTCATATTTTTGTCCAAATGGTGCATCACTTTCTACTTATTGATACATTTTTAGATACCAGTGTATAGATTCCTGTCTTAAAAACTAACTCAAGTTGTATAAAAATCTGAATACATCAAAACTATCAGTTCACAAAACATAAAACATACTTCTGTTTTACAATACACAGAGAGACAAACTTTCAATCAATTCTTTAACAACCACATCATATATATTCTTTGGAACAGAACAACAAGCATTCAACATGAAAACTTTGTATAAACCATATGCAATGCACACTGTACAGTACATGTATATATTTATTGCAATGGGATAAATTATAGAGCCACTCACTATGTGTGTACATATGTGGGTGTACGCTTATGTGTGAATGTGCGTTTGAGTGTGTCTCAAAGTTTGGTGATTGGCGGTAGTACATTATAAGTTGTTAATATGCTGATGCTTGGTATTATACCAACTTTCTGAATGAAAATGAATATCCAGCTATGGCAATATTATCAATGCCCTGAGGTTATAGTTATAATCCTAATAGTTTACATTAAGAAAAATAATTAAATTTATATCTCTTAAGAAAGAGAATACATATATAAAACTAATTTTCACGAATTTTCTAATCACCCAATGACATGCAGACACTTTGCAATGACACTGCATTCCATTTCTTAGTGAAAATAAAACAGCAGCATATTTTGTTGCCAAGGTACTATATAACAAAAGTAAATAAAAGCACTCTAGTTTTTCTGAAGAAATTATTCAGATTCACACACTTAAAACTCAGTGTCAAATATACAACACTAATTATACATACAGAACTCCCAGTAATGTGCAGAGAACATTGAAAACTCAGAGTGGATGAAAAGTAGAATAAGTTAACTAAGGAGAGTGGCAAAGACTTCCTTCATTCACAGCTTCAAGAGAAGGTATGAGAACTTGAGAGGCTGGAGTCCAGTAACCGCTGGGGTGACTTGAGAAATCGTAATAACACAATTGCAAACAAACCACATTAAGGGTGAGATTAGAACCCATGGTGAGTGAGCCGTACCCAGGCCATGGTTTCTAGCCCCACCTGTACTGTGGTTTAATTTTTTTTCAGGGATGATGTCTTAATCCTTTCAAGACAGCTGAGTGAAATTTTTATAACTGAGACAAAAGGACATATTTAGGGAAGAAGTATAAGAGGACAGTGTATCAGCCCACTGAGACATTCTTCTGTGCACATCACTGAGAATTCCTAATCTTGGTCAAACCCTTTTAGCTATTAGCATCATCCTCATTCATACTAGAATAACAGACATGCATCCACATTCAGTGCATCCACCTCCACATTACAAAAAATATATTAGATTTCATTTGTGTACTGATGCTAACCCTTGTTGTTCACCCACAGTCCTGATGATGGTTTGCATCCAAACAAATTTTTCTTTAAAGAGCTGCAGGCAAGACTAAGGCATAATAATCAGCAGTCAAACCTGCATCACATAGTACATTTTGAAATTTTAATTTTTTTTTTTTTTTTTAACCATTACCATATGGGTATTTAAGTCTCAATATTAGTTGCAAATAATGGTGATTCATTTACAAATTGCAAACTATGAATACAAGAATTTCATTGCTACATACTGTTTTACTTGGATACCAATTAGAATAATGTACCTAATTTTGTAGCTCTCTACATGGTTTTTAATGTAACTTTCTATGTAACATTTATTATATCATTATTAATATTATTATAATTATATTAACAAGAAAATGCTAAGCTTTTTTGAGTCATACAACACAGAATGCCAACCTTAAATATATACCTCGAGTGACCTGTCATCTCAAATGTGGGTGATCACATGGTGTTAGCGACTAGTTGGAAAACATTGCAGTCAATTTACTCAATGTTGGGATAATAAATAACATTAAAACAACAGCAGAAATGAAACTACTTTCAAAAGTAATTCCCTTTGACTCACAAAAGCCAGTTAAAAAAAAAGTTATCGTCTGGTGAGAATTATTAAATGTGAGTTGAACCAATTTGTGTGAAATTATCCGACTGCGTATGTTGTGATAGTTAACCTATCTTCTCTTGCATTTTATCATAGAAAAATTAACAACAATGATACAATTTGTGTTGCTATACTAAATTTGATTATTGTAAGTCAAATATAATTCCCAATGACCCAGACTGAGCCAGAGCACTGTCAAGTCACTTACATTTCCATTTTGTATTTGTCATTTACTATTAAAGAAAATAAGGAAACAATAAGTAAAATACTCTCCCACATCAGTAACAAACACTGCAACATGGTGGGCATTCATCAATGATATTATCATAAAATTAGAGTAAAATATATAATCACCATAAAATTGTACTATAATTACAAAATATACAAAAATCAGTCTATGTGATGATTGTACATTTGCACTGGAAACCACTGGAGTCACACCTCCCATACCAGCCCCACTTTACTGCAAAATGTGCATTAAGAGGTTGGCCATCCAAAGTTACGTCCCATCATCTCATAGAACTGCTCATTAAAAGGGGCAAAAAACTTACGTAGCCGAGACATTACTGCAGGATCAACGTGAGGGTGTGGTCGACCCTTGGCATCTGTTAAGCATTTTTGGAAGGTTTCATTTCTCATACAATAAAAACCTTTGGTCTCATTGAAGTAGAAATTATCAGGTTTTATATGAAGAGGAAGTCTCAAAAACTGCTGCACCTGCAATAAAATAGCAACAAGTTGATTGACTGCAATATACTACCATGCATGTACAAGTGATAAGATTTTTTTTAACATGTCAGCCATTTCCCACCAAGGAAGGGTGACTCAAAAAGAAAAAACTTTCATCATCATTCAACACTTTCACCATCGCTCATAGTGATAAGATATGAAGACATAAAAAATACTAAAATTCAGGTCAAATGAGAATTTTTTTTTTTTTCAAAAAAAAAAAAAAAAAATGAGAATAATGTTAAATATTCAAACTACCTAATTTCAAAATATCTTTATTTTTCTTCCTGGTTATCCATTACAGAAACAGAGATAATCAACCGCTTGCTTCTGGCAATTTAGTTAGATTAAATAATAGATATTACGATGGGAAGAATTTTGATTTGCTTTTCCCAAGAAGTTAGCATGACAAGTTACAAGTTTCTGAAACTGATCTGAGAAACACACATGAAAGTAGGGAAAATGCATACGAATTTAAGTAAGACTTAGTAAGATTATCCTGATATCCTCTTGTTTAAGAGACAGAAACTACTTGGTCAGAAATGTGGAACACAGGTAAGAGAGATCTGTATATTTTTGCCTTAGTCAGAGACCCTCTTCAGCAGACAGAGGATCTTGGACTGAGGACAAAATGTACAGATCTCTCTCTAACTTGTGTTTCAAATTTCTGTCAGAGCAGTTTCGAGCTTCTCATTGATTTGTGTTCATAATGATTAAATCAAAGCACATTTAACAAGCTTCCACGTTATAATCCTTAACATTACTGTAGTACAGTACAGGAAGTTTCCCTACTTACAAACTCCCAAGTTACAAACATCTGCACTTGTAATGGGATACTCAGAAACTTATTAAAGCCTTACAACCACTAAGCTGAAGTACACACATGAAATTTAATCATCTTTTGTACTAATATCACGTACATAAACTCATTTTGAGCTGGAAAAAAGAAATGAATCTTATTTGCAAGCTGAAGACATCCTGTACCTCCCTATCATTTGTCTACTAAGGGCAAGTGGATTCGAAATCTTCCTCTGCAAATGATGGGTGTCATATAAGAACACCAAACTAAGTGAAGGTACTAACCTTATCAATTTCAGTAAATGGATCAGATACAAGATTATCACCATCAATGATATGTATTTGCTCACGGGGAAATTCTCTCAGCCATCTCAGGACATGTACAGCATACTGGCTTATCTGTATTGCTTTGAATCTGCAAGAAGTTACTGTATTAATTATACACTTTTGAGTGTATGTGTATATGTATGTATCTATGTGTGTATGTATGCATTTGTGTGTGTATGCATGTATCTATGTACAGTGGACCCTCAACCAGCGATATTAATCCATTCCTGAGAGCTCATCGTTAATCGAAATAATCGTTAGTCAAGTTAATTTTCCCCATAAGAAATAATGGAAATCAAATTAATCCGTGCAAGACACCCCAAAGTATTGAAAAAAAAATTTTACCACATGAAATATTAATTTTAATACACACAAACTGAAGAAGACATGCACAGTTACATGACCTTACCTTTATTGAAGATCTGGTGATGATTGATGGGATGGGAGGTGGGGAGACCGTTGATCTTCTTAGTGTTTAGAAGGGGAATCCCCTTCCATTAGCACTTGAGGTAGCAAGTCTTTTTCTGGGGTTACTTCCCTTGTTCTTTTAATGCCACTAGGACCAGCTTCAGAGTCACTGGACTTCTGTCGCACAACATATTTGTCCATAGATACCTGTACCTCTCGTTCCTTTATGACTTTCCTAAAGTGGTTCACAACATTGTCAGTGTACAGGTTGCCAACATGGCTTGCAGTAGCTGTGTCAGGGTGATTTTCATCAAAAAAGGTTTGCACTTCAAGCCACTTTGCACACATTTCCTTAATCTTAGAAGTAGGCAACTTCTTCAATTTCTCTATCCCCTCCTCTGAAGCAGTTTCCTCAGGTCTGCCCTCTTGCTGTTCAAGATGATCTAGCAGCTCATCAGTGGTTAGTTCTTCATTGTCCTCCTCCACCAGCTCTTCCACATCCTCCCCACTAACCTCCAACCCCAAGGACTTCCCCAATGCCACAATGGATTCCTCAACTGGCATAGAATTCTCAGGGTTAGCCTCAAACCCTTCACAATCCCTTTTGTCTACACATTCTGGCCACAGTTTTTTCCAAGCAGATTTCAAGGTCCTCTTAGTCACTTCCTCCCAAGCCTTACCTATAATGTTTACACAATTGAGGATGGTAAAATGATCTTTCCAAAACTCTCTTAGAGTCAGTTGAGTTTCTGAGGTCACTACAAAGCACCTTTCAAACAAAGCTTTTGTGTACAGTTTCTTGAAGTTGGAAATGACCTGCTGGTCCATGGGCTGCAGGAGAGGAGTGGTATTAGGAGGCAAAAACTTCACCTTAATGAAGCTCATGTCCCTAGAAAGTCGCTCTGCCAAGTCTGAAGGATGACCAGGAGCATTGTCTAATACCAGGAGGCACTTAAGGTCTAATTTCTTTTCAATTAGGTAATTTTTCACAGTAGGGAGGAAATGCATGGTGTAACCAGTCATAGAAAAAGTCCCTAGTGACCCATGCCTTACTGTTTGCCCTCCACAGCACATTGTTTTTCCTGAACACTGGGAGTTTCAGAGTGATACACCAATAAAGGCTTCACTTTGCAATCACCACTAGCATTGGCACACATCAACAGAGTAAGCCTGTCTTTCATAGGCTTATGTCCTGGGAGTGCCTTTTCCTCCTGAGTAATGTACGTCCTGCTTGGCATTTTCTTCCAAAACAGGCCTGTTTCGTCACAATTAAACACTTGTTCAGGTTTCAGTCCTTCACTGTCTATGTACTCCTTGAATTCCTGCACATATTTTTCAGCCGCTTTGTGGTCCGAACTGGCAGCCTCACCATGCCTTATCACACTATGAATGCCACTACGCTTCTTAAATCTCTCAAACCAACCTTTGCTGGCCTTAAATTCACTCACATCACTAGTTGCTGGCATTTTTTTAATTAAATCGTCATGCAACTTCCTAGCTTTTTCACATATGATCGCTTGAGAGATGCTATCTCCTGCTATCTGTTTCTTGTTTATCCACACCAATAAGAGTCTCTCAACATCTTCTACCGCTTGCGATCTCAGTTTCCAAAACATAGTTGCACCTTTGGCAAGAACAGCTTCCTTGATTGCCGTTTTCCTGCCCACAATAGTAGCGATGGTTGATTGGGGTTTATTATACAACCTGACCAGCTCAGAGACACGCACTCCACTTTCATACTTAGCAATGATCTCTTTCTTCATCTCCATAGTAATTCTCACCCTTTTTGCTGTAGGGTTGGCACTAGAAGCTTTCTTGGGGCCCATGGTGACTTATTTTGCAGGTGCAATCACTACAAATGCTGTGATAATAGGAAATGTTCCAGTTGTATTTTTGGAAGCGACCGCGGTGGCTGGCTTGTAAACACTGGCACCCACGGGACAAGTGAGGCGAGCTCAGGCCAAAGTGGACGTGTCTCGTACGGAACGAATAGCGCTGGTTGGGTTTTTAAGCGCTAGTCGAGGCAAAATTTCTGCGTTAAAATGTATCGCTAGTCAGATTTATCATAATCGATGCCATCGCTGGTTGAGGGTCCACTGTATTTGTGTATGTGTATGTATAATATCATGCATTTGTATATGTTATTCGTGATTTCAATCATCAGTTATATACAGAGCTATATACAGCACAATAATGTGAAAAAATTATGTTGTAGCATAGTGTTACCATTAATACAGGAGGGCCCCTTTTACACCACTTCACTTTACGGCATTTCGCTAAAGCAGCTGTTTTCAATTACAGTAGAACTCCCACATCCACAGATTCGATTTCCATGGTTTACCATGGCTTGAAAATAACCCTTAATTTTGTTTAATAATGACCCCAAAGCACAAAAGTCGTGATGGTGGCAGTTCTTGAAAACCTAAAAAAGCCATGAAGTGTTTCCCATCAGTGAAAAAATGCTAATTCTCAACTTACTGTGCATAATTTATTAATTATCCTTTATCACTGGTATGTATGTTTTGGGTATCCTCATATATCCCCCGTGGATACGGGGGTACTACTGTATACCCAATCTTTATTTTTTCAGACTTCCTACACCATTCACTATAAGCCAAAGATGAAAATATTTTTAGTTAAGTAATGTGTGTACTGTATATGCATTTTTTAGGCCTAACCCTATTGCTCACTTAATATATGATAGTGTAAACATATTATCAGGCTTTCATATGCATTGGAAAGGGAAAAAATGCAGTTTCACTTTACAGCAACCTTCACTTTACAGTGGTAACCCAGAACCTAACCTGCTGTACAAGTGGGACCTACCTGTAATTACATATTGCATGTATTGTGGCTAAGATGGTGTAGTTGTCATGCCAAATAGGTAAAACTGGTCAATTAACAATAACTCACTTAAAATTAAGTCCTTTCTAAAATTTTCTCTTAAACGTTTAAAGATATATTTTTTTTCATTTAAGTTATGTAAAAACTAATAATTTTGTACCAAAAGAACCTTAGAAAACTTACCTACCATTATTATAGCAAGTGCAATTTAATTTAGCCTAATCCAACTAAATATATTTTAGATAAGTTTGCAGTAATTTAACAATAAACAAACACAATGAAATATATATTTTTCATTAAGTTCAGAATGATTTTTGTGAAATTACTGCATACACAAATTTTCGCTTGCCTTATTCGGCAAGAAGAGCGTTGCTATTTAGGCCAAAATCGCAAGTTTTACCTATTCGGCACGACACAGTCATGGTCATACAGCAGTAATGCCACCGGTTCATTCCTTAAGGGCACTGCTTATACTGCTCCAAATTTAGGTATCTTCACTATCAAGCCTTCCATGTTTTTATATACAGTATTATACACTACTGCACTTTGGTCATCAAGTCACAGAAACTAAATTATAATACCAACCCATCATTAATTTCACCGTCAGGTGTTAGAACTTTCTTGTGAAATGGGGCGACCTGTTTTCCTTTCCGCATTTTGGCCTCCATTATTTGGGCATAATCGGACAGGACTCGCATTGCCGGCTCCCGAACGATCAACAAGAGTTTAATGGTCTCGTTCATGGCGCGTATTCTCGCTGGTGCCTCACGAGAGATGAAGTACGACGGAGTCTTTTCTATTGTAACCTGCCAGAGAAAATTATATTTAATACTGTGGGTAATACTGTATAAATTTTGTAAAGGCAATTGTTTATTGCCATTTTCACAACCTCAGACTCATCAATTGTATCTTCTGTACAAAATATCAATTCTTAGATCTGTGTTTATAAATTCCTTTTTCTGGTGATTTACAGCATATTATATAATACAACATCTGAGACTACTGTAGTAGTCCTTTCTTTGCCTCCATGAATAACATTATCTCCACAGTATTTTTTTTTTTGTCAAAAGCACTGGCTGTCTCCCATCAAGGCAGGGTGACCCAAAAAAGAAAGGCAAAAGTTTTTCTTTTTACATGTAGTAATATATAGTATGTATACTGTGATATATTTTCTATCCAATGACACCTATGATATATTTTCTATTTAATAACACCTGTTGAATTATGTAGTACTTTTGGGGGTTGACCTCAACACAAGCCTGCTTTTCAAAATAGGAATTTAAAATTTATTATTATTTTTTTTTATTAACACACTGGCTGATTCCCACCAAGGCAGGGTGGCCCGAAAAAGAAAAACTTTCACCATCATTCACTCCATCACTGTCTTGCCAGAAAGGGTGCTTTACACTACAGTTTTTAAACTGCAACATTAACACCCCTCCTTCAGAGTGCAGGCACTGTACTTCCCATCTCCAGGACTCAAGTCCGGCCTGCCGGTTTCCCTGAACCCCTTCATAAATGTTACTTTGCTCGCACTCCAACAGCACGTCAAGTATTAAAAACCATTTGTCTCCATTTACTCCTATCAAACACGCTCACACATGCCTGCTGGAAGTCCAAGCCCCTCGCACACAAAACCTCCTTTACCACCTCCCTCCAACCTTTCCTAGGCCGACCCCTACCCCGCCTTCCTTCCACTACAGACTGATACACTCTTGAAGTCATTCTGTTTTGCTCCATTCTCTTTACATGTCCGAACCACCTCAACAACCCTTCCTCAGCCCTCTGGACAACAGTTTTGGTAATCCCGCACCTCCTCCTAACTTCCAAACTACAAATTCTCTGCATTATATTCACACCACACATTGCCCTCAGACATGACATCTCCACTGCCTCCAGCCTTCTCCTCGCTGCAACATTCATCACCCATGCTTCACACCCATATAAGAGCGTTGGTAAAACTACACTCTCATACATTCCCCTCTTTGCCTCCAAGGACAAAGTTCTTTGTCTCCACAGACTCCTAAGTGCACTACTCACCCTTTTTCCCTCATCAATTCACCTCATCTTTCATAGACCCATCCACTGACACGTCCACTCCCAAATATCTGAATACATTCACCTCCTCCATACTCTCTCCCTCCAATCTGATATCCAATCTTTCATCACCTAATCTTTGTTATCCTCATAACCTTACTCTTTCCTGTATTCACTTTTAATTTTCTTCTTTTGCATACCCTACCAAATTCATCCACCAACACAAATATTCACACCATTCATGGTTTATTACATTCTTTTAATGCAGAATTTTCCTCAAAAATCTATCCCACTATCTACAAAATATGAAACTGCATGCAAGGCGACTAGTGCAAATATTTTCTGCCACTCCACACAAGCGGAACACTATATTAAGATATCTCCCTATACAGAATACAATATATTTTTTTTAGACCATCAGGCATTTGCTACCACCAAGGTAGCATAACTCCAAAACAGAAAAATATTCCGCTTTTTTATTTTAGTAAACACAAAGAAAATGTACATATCAGCCTTCCATTGCCAACATTTTAGTCACCTATGATACACATGACTTAAGCAAATGAAGTGTAAGTAGAAAGGAAATACTACAGAAATAAGAACTATTAAGTGATATAGAAAACAGTAAAAAATAAATGTATACTAAATGTCAGGAAATGCATATAATATTTATCCATCATCATAAATGTTCATGAGACAGAAAAGAAGGTTCAATAATACAGCCAGTGCAAAACTTTCTAACAGAATAATCACCAGAGTGTTCCGTAGCTCAACTGCTAGCACACTCAGCTCACACACTGAGGTCCGTGGTTCGATCCCCGGTATGGGTGGAAACACTCATGCATGTTTCCTTAAGACACCTGCTCTCCATGTTCACCTAGCAGTAGATAGGTACTTGGGTGTTAGTCGACTGGTGTAAGCTGCATCTTGGGGGACAAAATTTACCTAATTTGCCTAAAATGCTCTGCATAACAAGGGCTTTCTGTATAGTAGTATGTCACTGATGTCAGAAGGGCCTATATACATTGTTAAATAACAAAAAAAGGCACAATACTGTGACTGGAATGATACACAAATAACCCGCACATAGAAGAGAGGAGCATACGACATTTTGGTCCGACTTGGACCATTTACAAAGTCACACTAACAAAAAGGAGAGAAGGAGGGGTATATATAGGCAGGAGGTGGTAGTAGTAGCAGCGGCGGCGGCGGCAGCAGCAGCAGCAGCAGTAGTAGTAGTAGGGGAGGTAGTAAGAAAAAGGAGGAGCCAGTCAAATACTAAGAAAGAGGAGCACTGCAAGGGAGCTAGGTGCCCACAGAGGGTAAGAGCAAGAACAGAGAGGGGGGATAAATAAATAAATAAATAAATAAATAAAGGAACAAATACACAAGGCAGAAGAAAGACAACCCAAAGGAGAAAAAGGAAAGAGGAAAGAGGAAAGGGGAAGTGGGGAAAGAAGAAAAAGGAGGAATCAGGTTAAGTCATGGGTGTTCTGAAGTTTGGAGCATTTTACAGTGTAGTGGGAAAGGAAGGCATCTACAGAGACGAAGCCAGGACTAAGATTCACACAAGGAAAGTTGTGTACTAGGGAGGATTCAACCAGACGGCGACTTACTACCTCCCCCACTACTACTACTACCATCTACCTCCACTACTACTACTACTATCACCTCCTGCCTATATATACCCCTCCCTCTCTCCTTTTCATTAGTGTGACTTTGTAAATGGTCCAAGTCGGACCAAAATGTCATTGTAAGTTCCTCTCTTCTATGTGCGGGTTATTTGTGTGCTATATACATTGTACTTGTATTTGTAGAAACGGCTTATTATTATGGTAGCACCTTCTTGTAATCTGCAAGCTTCTTAAATCTCCATAAAACCCAAGAGTTGAGAATGAAATAGTCTGTTGCCACTGGTATCAAGAAAATATTGGCAATCTGACTGGCATTTCATCAGCAGCGGTGAGTTGCTATGTGCTTTGTTTTCTTTGGTTTATCACTGTTAGATCTGGCCAGCTATTGGATGGATAACCACACTGACAACTTCACCCTAGACTAAAGGTAACCTCACAAAGTCATGATTTGGAGCAGGTTTATATACAGGCATTCCTCATTAATACAACGGGTAAGGCTACAAACTGCTGCCATAAAGCAAATATCAATTTAAAGCGATCATAGCCATTTTCTTGCTTGCCAGTGCATGTAAAAGCCTAAAAACATGTTTACTTGATCATTTATTAAGTGTGCAATAGGACAATGCTACAAAATTATGCAAAAGTAAAAATAATATAAAAAATTGGAAACTGCTAAAAACTATCTTAAGGTCAAGGCAAGCACCAGAAATAATAAACATGAACATAATTGAGAAGCTCTGCATCAGCGAAGTGCTCTAAAGTGAGCGCCATACTAACAAGGTATGCCTGTATTTAGGTGATCATATTATAAATAGCATACAATATCAGCAAGTTGATGTGTAAGACACGTGCAACACTCAATATTTACCAGAGCAAGTATGCTTTTATTTAGATTTTAGGTAAATAACAAAACAACTACCAATAACATCTACAATAAAGGGGTCAAAAAAATTTTATTTTTGACAAATGAGAAACTTAAAAAAAAATTCTGGGCTTTCTTGAAGGTGTCATGAACCCAACCCAAATTTTCCCAAATATTGTTCACATTACATAGGAAGAAATTACATAAAGCCTCAATTTTAGAAACATAACTCTCTCATTATATGAGATTCTGAAGTGTAGAAATTTTTCTGCAAAACAACAAGACAAAATTAGAAAATTCACTGTATTGGAAAAATGGAATACTATACCATGACAGTACTGTACCAGAGTACAATCTGGAAAAACGAACATGAAAAATAAGTGAAATTATATGTAATTAATACAAACATTGGCTAAGAGAAGGCAAAGAAGGAGCGGTGATGCCAAAGACATTAGTGAACAAAGATTATGCAAGGAAGTACAAGAAAATGATATAGCACATGGATAAGGTCTTCTCTAAATTACCTTTTTCTTGCATGGTGGGAAGCAGCAGCTGGCTTATAAAGATCATTTCATGGTATTAAAGAGCCCTTTCTTAAGATTATATTATTCTAGCATCTTAATTATATAAGAATTTAGCCATTATGTCTGGCACAAAATGTTACTGACCAGAGCTAGGTCAAAAAAATAAATTTTGTTGAATTTACTGGTTGTTGTTGTAGTTGCTGCTTTTTAAGAGCAATGACAGCTTATTTTCTGTGAGCCCATAACTTAGTGGCTAACAAATAGGGATTTTTCAAATTAAATACAGTGGAACCTCTGTTTTTCATATGCCCTGATTTTCATATGATTTGGTTTTCGACGACTTTTTTTTATCAAAATTTTGTCCCAGTTTTCATACATCCACTCAGTTTTCGTAGAGTTGCCATACCAAACGTGTCCATCTGCCCGTGCCCACACAGAGCATCCCATGCATTGTGACTCAGTCTGCCTTTGTTTCTCATTGCATGAGCATCACCTCACATGTTCATCCGAAACATTTCATAAAAATCCATTGTTTTTGTGCTTGTTTATTGAGTGCCAGAGAAAGTTCCGAGTGCCAGCCCTTTGATAAGTAGGCAAGAAACATGGTAGAATTCAAGAAACAACTCGTAGCAAAGTACGAAAGTGGAATGAGTTGCAAAGGTTTGTGGAGAAATATCCCCCTAACAAAGATGTTGCAAGCCGTGTCTGTAACATGTTCAATGACAATGCCTTGTCCCATTTTTAGGCAAATCTTAAAGAGATGCCAGAAACAGGCCTCTCTGGACAGATTTTTTGTGCGACAGGGGTCCAGTGATTCAAACTGGTCCTAGTGCCAGTAAAAGACAAAGAAGGGAAGTAACCTCAGATCAGGCCTTGATACCTGAAGTCCTTATAGAGGGATGTTCCCCTTCCAAACAATAACTCCTCCTCCCTCTCTCCTCCTCGCCATCTTCCATATCCCAACAAGTCTTCAATAAAGGTAAAAGTGATGTTAAATGTTCATTTATCCATTTCATTAGTTATTTATATTTATTTCTCATTGTTTTCAGTTTTTGTACGAATCGGTTTTTGTCAGACTTTTTGGAATGAATTAATCACGAAAACCAAGGTTCCACTGTATTGTATATGTAAACAAATATGATTAGGGAATTTACTCAATGAAATATTTCCTCTAAAGAAGTAAGAGGAAAACCATTTTCATCATAAAACTTAATTGTCATAATTCAAGACTGGTTCAATAACCATTATTGTACATCATAAATACCATGGAATGATCTAAACACAAAAGCGAATTAAAGCAAATTTTGTAGTTACCTGATTATCAAAAGAGTATGGCATCCTTTTTCTATACCACTCTAAGCCATTTGCATAACGTTCATCATCATCAAAGAAATGCATCTCTAATCCATTCTTCTGTATATGGGGATGCAGATTGAGCATCTCAATGAGGGCTCGAGTACCACATTTACGTACACCAATGATCAGGGCTTGGGGTAGTCTCCGTTGCGTACCTCGGATACGAAGTCGTTTGCGGTAAGCCTCTGTTGTGACGGAATCAAGCCCAGTTGTCTCAGATGCTGCTGGTGGAGCTGGAATTATTTTCTTGTCACACTATCAACACAAGCAAACTGGCACACAGTTATGATTCAAAAAGCAGTTTTGAAGCATCCCTCTAAAAGCACTGATCAGATTAAACAAATCTAACTGGGTTATTAACTTTAGTCTTTAGTGTCTACTGGAAGAGTAAAAGGAAAGATGAGTAATGTACTGTGACAAAAATAGAAATATTAGAAGAGAGCTTATAAGCTTAAAACCGATCAAAGCATGAAATCCAGTGTGCCCTACTCACAAGAGCATCACTTACCATATACTGCAGCAGCTCCCATGGGGAAGGTATAGTAGAGAACTAGACAAACAAGTAGTGACGTGAGAACAATGACGGGGGCCATCCGCCGCAATGAATTAAGAGGTGAGGAGCTCTCGCAGCGTGGCCCCATCAGTGGCCCCCAAGCTGGCTTACGTCCCAAGTTATCACTCCATGTAACGTGACAGCCCTCATTCCCACATGACATGGCTATCTATCCATGCCACCTAAAATATATGCAAATCTGATGAATATTATGCCTGTCTTTTACCCATCCTGTGGGTGGTAGTCAAAATATTACAGAGGCACATAATGGGTCTAGGGACTGCTTTAACATTACAGATTCACACAATGGGTCCAGGGACTATACAGACAGTTGTAAAACTGCCAATAATTAGTTTAAAGTCACCATATATCCTAAAGAGGAAAAACAGCCACCTATACACCAAAGAATGCTCAACCATCTACTTATTTAGAGTGAATTATTATTATAGTATTCATATTATTTTTTTTTTTTATAATCATAAATAAGCACTAAATCCATAAGGGTCATACAGTTATTATATTCACATGAAAGAGCTATGGCACAGGAGTCATACAGTGCCCGGGGAATGGTAGGTAATCACATTTGAGCCAAGGAAGGGGAAGTAATCTCTAATTCCCAGCACACAAAGCCCTTCACCAGAAAAAATCAGTGAAATCAGTGAGTTTTAAAGTATCCACAAGAGGTCACTTATATAGAAGCAAAAGATGTACACAAGTGTGAACCAAAACATTAATTTAATTTTCTTGAAAAGCATTTTCCACAAAATCAAATACATTCCTTTTTTTTTTTTTTAACATATTGGCTGTCTCCCACCATGGCAGGGTGACCCCTCCCCCCCCAAAAAAAAAAAAAAAACTTTCACCATCATTTACACTATCACTGTCTTGCCAGAGGCACACAGATACAACAGCTTAGATGTCCCTCTAAACAGCAACTATCCCAAACCCCTTCTTTAGAGTGTAGGCACTGTAATTTCTTCCTTTCTTGGAATAGCTAGTACTTTGCATCAGGTCTGTACAATGTTTAGGGCTAACATCTAAAGAACAAGGATAATTTACAAGGGTAAGTCCTCCTCTACCTGTTACCCCTGCTCACTTAGCAATAAGCAGGTGTTAGCCAATTGTTGTGGAAGAGGATCAAACGACTCCAATGGAAATAAGCCAGACATAGTGACTTTATCGAGTAATCCTGGGTTACTAACCCTCCAGGTTAATCTGAAGTCTTCTTCCTTCTTCTCCTCCTCCTCCTCCTCCTCATCATCATCATCTCTTTAAGAGGCAGAGCTCCTGTACAAGAAAGTATTGTTCAGAAGTGAAGTGAAGGCAGTCTTTATAGTCACTGTAAACAAAGAGACTTCCTCATACAAAGGAACCATTGTATATACTATACTCAGGAACTGTGATCAAGTGACTAAGAAACTAGCACTTGTAGCATCAAAAGTTCTTAGAACATTATACGTAATACAAACAAGATATACACAAATCTAATATCCCATATGAATTTAAAATAATACATACCATACTGTCCTGTACAGTACAGTACACAAAGTTGTGGCAGTATTTTCTTGGTCAACAAAAATGCCTGTTGAAGCAGACCCCTTAGTCATAATGACTTGATTGATGATTATGATGTACTTGCAGTGGAAGCTCTAGCAGTTTTACATAGGGGTGGCAAAATGGTTGGATGAGGGGGGGCTATGTGAAGTATACCTGGAGGATGTTCTGGGGGTCAATGCCCCCATGCCCAGTATTCAATATTAAATTAATATTAAAGTTATTTATGTACTTCCTACAAGCCATACAAATTATGGTGATTATACAGTAATATTGTTATTGTTATCTTTATTTGGCAGCTGATATAATGTTTAGGGGGCTTCAGCCCCCTTTGGTTCTGCCCTGTGTAGCAGTGCTAGGAACCCACCCCACTTAAAAAATTAATGGATTACAATACATTATATCTTAATTCTACACACCTCTATGTGTCCATAAAATCGAAATAAAATCTAGGTTAAAAAAAAGAATTCCGTCACAAAAAAAAAATTACGACAAGCATCACTGAACAGAGTACACAGTGCTAAAAATGTAGTATCTTAATTTATTTCAGTTTATTTCAGAACACTACTTTTATTATATTCGTAGGAGGTGCTAAGCTTATAAGGGTCCTATAGCACAGGGTAAATGGAAGGCAATGAGGACTGATCTGTAAGTTTATTCAGGTATTGGTACACAAATAGTTACATAAATTATCATACATAGCACCATATGTGTGCATTACCTAGGATAACTCATAAAGTCAGACAAAGTGACTTATTTCCACTGGAGTCCTTGAACCTTCATTTCTTCCCTCCTCAATGGTGATGCCTTAATGCCAGTGAGGGGCTCTTGATCCAAGAAATTGGACTCATGCTCTTCTTCCTTGGACAGAACTTGAATACTCCGATGATAGATTGCCTATAGAGGTTATCCTAGGTAATCTACACTTGTACTGCTATGTATGATAATTTATGTAACTGTATTTGTGTGTATCTGTATCTGAATAAACTTATTTAATACAGTGGACCCCCGGTTAACGAACTTTTTTCATTCCAGTAGTATGTTCAGGTGCCAGTACTGATCGAATTTTTTCCCATAAGGAATATTGTGAAGTAGATTAGTCCATTTCAGACCCCCAAACATACACGTACAAACGCACTTACATAAATACACTTACATAATTGGTCGCATTTGGAGGTGATCGTTAAGCGGGGGTCCACTGTATTTATATTATTATTTTTATTATTATTATATTCATAGGGAAGTGCTGAAGCTATAATAATACAACACCTGGGGAATATGATGTAATGAGGTTTGATCCAAGGAATTGGAGGCTAGCTCACATGCCTTGGATCAAAAGCACTTCACCAGGATAGTCAACCCTCTTGAGCAGCCTTCTTGGATTATTTTTTGGTTAAATCTATCATTTATCACCAACGAAAACCTACACTAGAAAACAAACACTAAACCTACATTATAAAAAAAATATATGCCTGTAACCACAGTATAAATTGTAATGGTCTACAAATGCCTGTATTTAGAGACTTATTAGTATTATTATAATCATGTTGGAGTGCTAAACCCATAGGATTATACAGCACATGTGGGGGGGAGATGGAAAGTATTCAGGCTCAATTCAGATCCAATTCCCTAGATCAAGAGCCCCTCACCAGCATCAAGGAACTTCCCTTGAGGGGTGTATTTAGAGAAAACAGGTTTTAATTTAAGCTTAAATTTTATAATGGTGTTATATAGGAATGTAAGTAAGTTTATTAAGTCATAGTTACACATAAGTACAATTATCAATAACAAGTTTATTTTAGCATGATACATGTTTGTACAAAGGACTGTAACAATTTGGTGAACATGCCATAAGCCCCTTTTTGGGTTATCCTACCCAAAAAAAAAGTCAAAGGGACTTATTTCCAATGGGGTGCTTATTATATTTATTAATACTATTATTTTCAAGGGGAAGCGCTATACCCAAAAGGTCACAGAGCACCTGGGAAATCTGAGACAATCAGGACTTGGTCCTAATACAGGGGAAAGGTAGCGCTAACTGCTTGGAACTAGAGCACTTCATCATCAAGGCACTACCACTGAAGGTACAAAATCCACCGCATTAAATTATTATAATCAAGGGGAAGCGCTAAACCCGTAGGATTAGACAGCGCCTGTGGGGGGGGGTAGAAGGTATCCAGGCTTAATTCAGGGAACCAGAGCACAAATCCAGTTGTCTAGATCAAGAGCCTCTCAACAGCATCAAGGAACCCTCCTTGAGGAGCCACCGCATTAAAGAATAAATGTTTATCTTATCTTCTTGGGTGATGATGCTGGACCCCAGATGCAGCCTCACTATTATCTCCCGTCCCATACGACCCTAGAGCTAAGCCACAACACAAATTTATTTCTGCCGTATACACTAATATAGTTTATATGTAATAAAACACTGTTAAACACAAAACAATCCACTAGCATGCCATGCATTTCAGAATAATCTTAATGCTTACAGATTACTTAAGAATTAGACGGGAGATAAGCCAGGAGATACTCCAGGAGATAAGCCAGGGGATACTCCAGGAGATAAGCCAGGGGATACTCCAGGAGATAAGCCAGGAGATACTCCAGGAGATAAGCCTGGGGATACTCCAGGAGATAAGCCAGGAGATACTCCAGGAGATAAGCCTGGGGATACTCCAGGAGATAAGCCAGGGGGTACTCCAGGAGATAAGCCAGGGGATACTCCAGGAGATAAGCCAGGAGATAAGCCAGAGGATACTCCAGGAGATAAGCCAGGGGATACTCCAGGAGATAAGCCAGGGGATACTCCAGGAGATAAGCCAGGAGATACTCCAGGAGATAAGCCTGGGGATACTCCAGGAGATAAGCCAGGAGATACTCCAGGAGATAAGCCTGGGGATACTCCAGGAGATAAGCCAGGGGATACTCCAGGAGATAAGCCAGGGGATACTCCAGGAGATAAGCCAGGGGATACTCCAGGAGATAAGCCAGGAGATACTCCAGGAGATAAGCCTGGGGATACTCCAGGAGATAAGCCTGGGGATAAGCCAGGAGATAAGCCTGGGGATACTCCAGGAGATAAGCCTGGGGATAAGCCAGGAGATAAGCCTGGGGATACTCCAGGAGATAAGCCAGGAGATACTCCAGGAGATAAGCCTGGGGATACTCCAGGAGATAAGCCTGGGGATACTCCAGGAGATAAGCCTGGGGATACTCCAGGAGATAAGCCAGGGGATACTCCAGGAGATAAGCCAGGAGATACTCCAGGAGATAAGCCTGGGGATACTCCAGGAGATAAGCCTGGGGATACTCCAGGAGATAAGCCTGGGGATACTCCAGGAGATAAGCCTGGGGATACTCCAGGAGATAAGCCAGGGGATACTCCAGGAGATAAGCCAGGGGATACTCCAGGAGATAAGCCAGGGGATACTCCAGGAGATAAGCCACACCAGCAGAAACTATCAAAGGCAAACTGATATCTTCTAACCTTTTTTTCTCCCTGTGGTCCCTGGCCAGAGAGGCAGGTGAAGGGGCCGTGGTGGGGGAGGTGCCTGTGTGTGTGTGAGAGAGACAGTAGCAGCAGCAGCAAGGTGCTGCTAGTGTGGCAGCCACGGCTGGCCCCCGGCCCTCCCTGGCTCTCCCATCATTCACTCTCCCCTACACAACACAATTCTACGCGATCTGCCAGTGCCTAGTGCCAGGAGGGGCCACTGCCGCCGCTCCCCGTCACACACGCCCCGTGCCACACGCCCCCACACTACACGCCCCCTCACACGCACTCTCACACGCCCCCTCATCCACATCATCATACCATATACACCTCTCTCTCTCTCTTTTGAAAGTAATTATTACTCAAGAACAAATATATCAAGTTCCTGTTGCAAAATACAAGCATTTTGTCTCTACAGAAAGCTGTGAATGTTTCTTTTAAGAGAAAACGAACTGAAGACGCAAATTCAATGACTAACTTTGATAGTTTTATCAGTGAGTCAGTTTATTCAAGTACACATAAATACAGTTACATAAATTATAGGTACACATAAATACAGTTACATAAATTATCATACATACCAGCATATGTGCATATTACCCAGGATAACCGAAAATAATTAGACAAAGTGACTTATTTCCATTAGGGTCCTTGTAATATCTTGGGTAATTTTACTTGGGTACAGGTACAAATAAATAGTTACACAAATTGTCATACAAAGTAACATATGCGTAAACTACTTAGGATTACTCAAAAAAGCCAGACAGAGTGACTCGTGTCTATAAGAAAATGTTAAAGGTACTTATCTTGCAAATAATTATTCATTGAGGCCTCTTACATAATTTTATATTTCACAAGGTTTTATGTAGGAAATTTCGGGGAATTTAATCTTGGAAACCCCAATATAATCAAGCAATGTGACTTATTTTCATTGAGATCTTCGAATTTCCATTGAAATTCACGAATTTCCATTGAAATTCTTGAATTTCCATTGAAATTCTTGAATTTCCATTGAAATTCTTGAATTTCCATTGAAATTCTTGAATTTCCATTGAAATTCTTGAATTTCCATTGAAATTCTTGAATAACCATTGAAATCCTTGAATATCCATTAAAATCCTTGAATTTCCATTGAGATCTTGAAATTTCCATTGAGATCTTCGAATTTCCATTGACATCCTCGAGTTTCCATTGAGATCCTTGAATTTACACTGAAATTCTTGATTATAATTATTATTATTATTATTATTATTATTATTATTATTATTATTATTATTATTATTATTATTATTATTATTATGGGGAGCGCTAAACCCATAGGATTATACAGCGCATGTGGGGGGATGGAAGGCATTCAGGCAATTCAGGGAACCGGAGCACAGATCCAATTCCTTAGATCAAGAGCTCCTCACCAGCATCAAGGAACCTCCCTTGAGGGGTGAAATTCTTAAATTTCCATTGAGATCCTTTAATTTTTATTGAGATCCTTGAATTTCCATCGAGATCCTTCAATTTCCATCGAGATCCTTCAATTTCCATTGAGATCCTTCAATTTCCATCAAGATCCTTCAGTTTCCATCGAGATCCTTCAATTTCCATTGAGATCCTTCAATTTCCATCGAGATCCTTCAATTTCCATCGAGATCCTTCAATTTCCATCGAGATCCTTCAATTTCCATTGAGATCCTTCAATTTCCATCAAGATCCTTCAGTTTCCATCGAGATCCTTCAATTTCCATTGAGATCCTTCAATTTCCATCGAGATCCTTTAATTTCCATTGAGATCCTTCAATTTCCATTGAGATCCTTCAATTTCCATTGAGATCCTTCAATTTCCATTGAGATCCTTTACTTTCCATCGGGTACCTTAATTTCCACTGGGATCCTTTTATTTCCATTGGGCCTTTGAATTCCAATGATGACCCTGTATTTCCATTGGGGTCTTGCTATTCCATATAGAACAAATTAACTTTATACATTTATACTCTAGTTTGCTCTTGTAGATCATTATGGAGGAAAATGTTCTGCGTTATGAGCATCTTGTTTGGAACTTGAAAACATGTACAGTACGTGTCATGAACACTAAGAGCCAGGTAGCCTCCATAAGAAGCTCTTTTTTTGAGCTAGATGCTTGAAGGCAAATGCAGTACCTTCTATTGTTCACTGGCAATACCTGGAGTTCATGTTTCCTGTGTCAGATTCAGTTAAATTTAGTGCACATGATTATAGGGGCAAAATTATTTTGGGACACAGTTTAGCCTATTATACAGTATTTATAATAAACACAACGTAGGCAAGATAAGCAGTCTGGAGAGCTTTTATACCACCTTATGCTAGGTTAAATTTATATAATGTACTATATTATATGCTCGTATGTGTGACCTGAAGACCAATGTAGTCTAATGGTTCCTGTTTGTCTTAAAATATGGGACTATATTTGATGACAATTACCCTGTATCCACTGACTTACTGTAGATTTTAATTAGCGGTTTGGAAAATGTATTTGCAGCTCTTTCCAGAATACATGGTGATAATGTATCAACCCTAGTGTCCCTGATGTGTCCAGCCTACTGTGTGCTCACTTAACTGTTTGCAGGGGTCGATTCATAGCTCCTGGCCCCGTATGTGCGTCAACTCTAGTGTCCTTGATATGTCCAGCCTACTGTGTGCTCACCTGTTTGCAGGGGTAGATTCATAGCTCCTGGCCCCGTGTGTGCGTGTGTGTACTCACCTACATGTGGTTGCAGGGGTCGATTCACACCTCGTGTGAGTACAAAGTTCCTTACCTCACTAGTCTATTTATTTAATAACATTATAGAAAACACAATCACGGAAAACAAAAATATACCTCCACCTGTGAATAAAATATAAATTTACTAAGAATAAACTCGCATACATAAATACCAGCAGTGTAGGCGGGCAAACATTCCTATAAAAATATGTTAATGGGACAGCCTCGCCATCTATTAATGTAAGGAATAACATTGACTACATCAGTACCAGACACCGCCAGAGGAAGAACAGTGCAGTGTAGCGAGTGTTCTACCTTGTAGTATAGAACCTTTAATTCTGTACTTACTACGGAGTACGGGAAAACGTATTTACACTATAACTTCCCTTAATAAAATAGTTTGTGGGTACCGAACTGGTTATAGTGCGTCAAAATGTTCGTAATATGACGATTTTGAACAAGAGAGTTGGTTGTAATAGGGGAAATATTGGTAATAGAGGATAGAGTGGTCGTGCGTCAGGCTGTGAAGGCGTCGTGGTGGTCGATGATCACAGCCTCTACTGGACATGAATGGAGGTGAGTAACCTATAATAGACTAGTATTTCCTCCCTTTTTAACCACCTTAATCCTTTATTGCTTCATTTAGTTATGTGTAAAGAGAGACATGTTGCTCTTCATACCTCGAAAAAGAACCCGAATAGTTGCAGTGTTTTGTGTGAAATCGAATGAGTTCTTATAAAGCGTAGTGCATAAAATAAATATGACTGACCCACTGAATACAAATAAAGTTTAAGCATTTTATTATTAGTTAAGATTTTGAGAACAAAAATATTTAACATCCAGTGTCTGTTTTTTCTCAGTGTGTGTATGTGTGCGTATATATATATATATATATATATATATATATATATATATATATATATATATATATATATATATATATATATATATATATATATATATATATATATATATATATATATATTGGTTACTATAGTATGCACACCTCGTTAATGTAAATAATTAATCAGGTTATTTTAGGTAATTTACACGTTACTATGTATGATAATTTGTGTAACTGTATTTGTGTATCTACATAAACTTACGTGTTTACCTGGAGTTTTCCTGGAGAGGGTTTCGGGGGTCAACGCCCCCGCGGCTCGGTCTGAGACCAGGCCTCATGGTGGATCAGGGTCTGATCAACCAGGCTGTTACTGCTGGCTTGTGGCAGCACCTTAAACATCAGAATGGGGAAGAAGTGTGATGTGACTTTGACTGTGGAACGACTGTTGGTGGCAAACGGGATGTTTTGAGTATCTCAGAACTGCTGATCATCTGGGGTTTTAACACAACAGTCTTTAGAGCTGATAGAGAATGGTGTGAAGAACGCAAAACATCCAATAAACAGCAGTTCTGTTGGCAAAAAATGCTTTGCTAATGAGGGAGATGAGAGGAGAATGACCAGATTGGTTCAAGCTGGCAGGAAGGTGACAGTAACTCAAATAACCATGTGTTACAAGAGTGGTATGCTGAAGAGCATCTCTGAATGTACAATACGTCGAACCTTGAAATGGATGGGTTATATATATAAGCAGATAACCACATCAGGTTCCACTCCTGTCAGCTAAGAACAGGAAACTGAGGCTACAGTAGACACAGACTCGCCAAAACTGGACAAGTGAAGATTGGAAAAACGTCGCCTGGTCTTACAAATCGCGATTTCTGCTGTGACATGCAGATGCAAAGGTCAGAATTTGGCACAAACCTTGGGATGTTGTGGGATGGGTAAGTCGCAACCGATAAATCTACAGCAACTGCGTAATGCTGTCATGTCAACATGGACCAGGATTTCTATGGAATATTTCCAGCACCTTGTTCAGTCCATGTTACGAAGAATTCAGGCTGTTCTGGGGGCAAGGTAGACCCTACCCAGTACCAGAAAAGTATACCTCATAAAGTGACTACTGAGTGTAAAATACCGACATAATGGAAAAAAGACAGATGCAGTATAACGATTCTTTATTAAAGACATTTCACCCACAAAGTGGTCTTTATTATGTCACTAACATAAAACCTAGAGAGGGAAGGTGAGCCTGTATATAAGGACCGTAGTTTGTGACTTAATAAAGCCCACTGTCTGAGCGAAACGTCGTCAGTAAAGAATCGTTTATACCATATTTGCATCATTTCTTGCCCTAGTGGACTGGTGACCAGTTTTCAACATACAGAATTTGTGGAAGAGAATGTTGTGTGACTGAGGCATCAATACAGCTTAAGGCATCATGTTGAGTGTCACGATCTCATAAGGTTCTTTGGCTGGGGTAATGCAAGACAGTAACTGGGAAAGAGGTCATTACCAGAGGTGAAGGGAAGTGTTGCTTTTGCCTATTCCTTGGGAAGCACCAAACCCGTAAAGATCATACAGCGCTTGGAGAAAGGGGTAATAGGCTACGATTCATTGGATCAAGAGCCCTTCACTAGCGTCAAGGCACACTTCCTTGAAGGTGAGGTGATGTGATAATATTGAAT